CTGGGGCGGCTTGCCCAAAACGTGGTTCTGAGGGTTTTGTTTCCGGTTCTTGCGCGGCTCTTGTAGTCCTAGTCCTAGTCCTCAGAGTGCCTCGTTCTCAGTCTAATTGTAGGGAGAAGACAGTTTGCAAAACTAACCCTAGAGAAGCAGCGCCGTGGAGGCCCCGCGGAAACGCCTCTCCCCTCCCGCGGGCGCCCTCTGCTGTCCCTGGTGCCTCTGCTTCCCCTGCGCGCGGGCTCCGCGCCTGCTGCCGAAGCGCTCACAGCGCCGCCTAGAGCATTTTAAACAGACGCATTTTGTTTTCTCTTTTTTCGGTGCTGTGGATTGAACTCCACGGCCCAGTGTATGCTGGGATTCTCGATATCTCTTAAGACCTGTTGGCTTCCCTGACTTGCAGCGTCAGATAATCTTTTATAATTTGTGTGTGTGTGTGCGCGCGCGCGTGTGCCAGGGACCGAATTCGGGACCTTCCACTTTTGAGGCAGGTGCGGCGCCGCTGAACTAAATCCCCAGCAGATACTTCGCAAATTTTTTGGTACTTGATGTAACTTTTCCAACACTGTCAGTGTACCTGACCACTTCTCATAGCTCCCTCACCTACTTTTTTGCTATTCCCTAAGAAAATAGCATCAAACTTCTTTAAATGTTTGTTAAAGTCAATAAGATGCTGAGTATGCGTCTGTAAGCATACATTCAGTGCTGAGTTTGAAGGAGGTAAAAATGTATAATCCAAATAGAAAATGCAAAAGGGCTGTGTAAGTAGCTCAGTGTGAATGTCCTGGGTTTAATCCTCAGAACCACAATTAAAAATTTAAAAGCCCCTTTAGGGCTAGAAACTTAGCTGGAGCATTCCTGAGCCAGTTCCACCTTGTTTTGTATCCCTGTCTGAGCTGTTATCTCTGAAATTTTGTTGCAGGTGAAAAAGAGTCTCAGGTGGACATGTAAGGCTTGTGGTGAGAAGCAGTCTTTCTTACGGGTGAGTCCTGAGTCCCAGCGTTCCACAGCAGGGATGCTCACCACACACTGAGCTCACCGTTCCGTCAGGAGTGAACCCTGGAGAGGTGCTCCCGTTCACTTGGTCATTCAGCAAGTATTTGTTGAGTGCCTGCTGTGTGGCAGTAGGAAGCCAGGATCAGCGTCGCGCTCCCAAGTGTACTTTTGGGGAAGGCAAGGGGTAATACCTGTGTGCACACACGTGCAGTTACGCAATTCAGAGCTAGACAGCGCCATGGAGGAAAGGGACGGACCTGGGAGAAGATGGCGAGAGAGTCAGACCTTATGGGGTGAGACCTGCGGGTGGAGGCAGCAGGGAGCAACAGGGCTGGCTCGGGAAGCGGAGGTGGCGAGGAGCATGTGGACTGCTGCACACACACACTGCCTGCTCTTGCTTAGCTCCCTTTCTTCCCATGCCCTCAAGCACATCTTTCAAGCCCAGGCGTGCTGATCTCTGGTGCCACAAGAGCCTCGTCCTTTGCTGACCCAGATGCCACCTCTTCTGCTTCATCACTTACTGTGTTCCCCTAGCCAGAATGGCTTCCCTTCTGACCTTGAAGCAGTCCAGATCCTCTCTGTCTTAGAGACCTGTGCTCATGGCTGGGGCCCTCTTCCTTCTCCTGATTGGAAATTGTGTGTCTACATTAGTGCTGCAAGCAGAGACTCCTGTTTGTTGCCTCCACACCCACCACAGTACCCTACATAGTAAGTGCTCAGTATGTGGCTGCTGACAAGGGACATTCCCACACTGATGGCGTGGCAGGACTTGCCTTCCACTCTGTTGTACAACTCTGAGTGAAGCCCTTTACTCCTTTGTTTGCTTAACCAGCCATTTGCTATTTCTTGAAGTCTCAAAAGTGAAACTGAGGCTTTAGAGGGCACTGTCTGACCAAGTCTCTTTCAGTTGCAAATAATAGAAATACTTGAGAATGGCTTCAGTGAGGCAAAATCCACTGTGCGGGATATCGCAGGTATGCCAGGGAAAAAGTTTACCCCTGAGGAAGCAACTGTAAGAACTGATAAATTGCCAGGAAGCCGGACACAATCATTTCCCTCTTTCCCTACCTCTGCCCATATTTTCCTTCCGTTTTCTTTCCCTTTTCTCCTCCCCCTCCTGTGTCTTCCTAGACAGTTCACTGTGACATGCTGCCCAGAGTCACAGAAACTTCTCCTAAGGAACCTGGAATAGCTGAGTCCCAGTTCTGAGGCCCTGAAAGAAGCTCTCTGGTGACTGACACAAGTTAACTAACGTCTGCCTCTGGCATAGGCGACTGGGATCAAGTCCCAGGGGACAGGGCACTTCCTCAGCTGGGCGGACACCACAGCACAGTCAGCGTGTGTTTCTAAATTTTCCTTGGGAAGGCCCTGCCTTCGTGCTCCATGGTTGTGCAATGGTGTATGGCCCACAGCGGACTAGGGTAGAGTAGTGCATGATCCAGAATGATGTTCCTTAACACAGTGGAGTTGTTACTCTTGCTGTTGTAACAGTCCCGGGAGGACATTGAGATGGGGAGGGGACTGTCCTTGGTCTGGTCACGCAGGGACCCAGGCTGCCGCCGCCTTGGTGTTCTTCGATTCCCTGAAGCGTGTCTGCAGCTGCCTGTAGCCACGTAAAGGGGCAGGAGCCTGGGGGAGCTGCCAGGAGGATGCTGGGACCCAGCCTGGAAGAAGGAAGAAACAGGTTCCCTGGCCATAGCTAAGCGGAGGGCACCTGGGAATGGAGTCTCATTTTGTGCCCACTTTCGGAGAGAAGGACATCTCCCTACTGGCTACACCAGACAGAAGTCAGCAGCTTTTCAGCTCTGCCCTCCTCTTCTGTTCTCTCCTGGCCCACATTTGAATACACTTGAGCCAGGAGCACAGTCCCCACCATCTGCTCAGTGCTCTGCGCAGGGTCTCTGTGACCCTGTGTTGCTAACCACAGCGGTTAGTTCTCAGTTCTCAGATGACTTAACTGTCAGTGTTTGTCACAGATCATCTTTCAGCCTCCTTGAAACTTTTTCTTGGCTTAGACTTTCAGGGCATCTGCTGTGTTGCTTTTCTTGTTGCTGAGACAAAATACCAAACACCGAAGTTAAAGGAGGAAAGGTTTATTTAGCTCACAGTTTGTAGAGGTTTCAGTTCAGAGTCGGTTGGCTCCAAGGCAGAAGAGTATTGCAGAGAAGTGGCAGGCGGAAGGCGGCGGCAGCAAGCTAGAGCAGCCACCATGAGGGCAGGTAGCACTCACAGCCAATGTGGGGCAGGCTTAATCCTACCACAGCTGCCAGACCAATCAGTGGACTAATTTGGTGATCACACACCCTTGATCCCAGCCTCACACACCCTAGATCCTCTGAAAAGTCTCCTCTGACTACAGAGGTCACCTCCTCTTTGGGAGACATCTAGACACAAGCCATAGCATTGCTCCTGGTTTTCCACCTATCTTCCTGTTTCCTCAGTCCTCTTTGCTGACTCCCCCAGCTGCCCAACTTCTGAAGGTCTGATTTCTCTACGGTATATGTTTGGCCTCCCTCCAGCACACTCACTTTCCCACAGTGATCTTATAATACCATCCCACCCTGAGGCTTGGTGGGGCCATGGCAGCTGGTCCTTCAAGCACCTGCAGACCTGCAGCCAGGCTGCCTGTGGGAGGCACTAGGAAGCCACAAGGATCGCTGTTGTTTTTATAGCTTCCTGAAAGTCTGATTGTTTCAAATAAAAAGTTTTGGGCTTTTTTTTGTTTGTTTGGTTGGTTGGTTCGTTGGTTTTTTTGAGTCAAGGTCTCACTATGTAGTTGAAACTGACCTGGAACTCGCTATGTAGTCCAGGCTGGTCTCAACTCACAGCGATTCTCCTGCCTCAGCCTCCTGAGTACTGGGATTACAGGCATATGTCACCACACCTGGCTACTAAGGGTTTTTTTGGGGTTTTTTTTAAGGAAAAAAAAGTGTCCCTGGGAGCCTAGGCCGCCCAAGTGCATGTGCCTGTTGCTATGTCCCCGCTCTGTGTCCATCACATCCGCTCCTCCTGCTGACATCTCTGAAACACTGAGTCCCACTTTCTGGTTTGGTCTAAAAGCCTGGAAGTCATCCCCAATTCCCCGGTTTTTATACTCTTCATCCAGTCTGCCAGTGAATTTCGTCAGCTCTGCCTCAGGCAGGATCTGTAGCGCATCTTCCCACGGTTGACCCAACAGCCTCTCCTGATTGGGGTGTGGGTAGCAGCTACTGGGGCCTCCTGTCTCTTCCACCAGCACAGCCGGGGGGGTCTGTGATGTGGATGCAGGGCTGTGTCCAGACCATCCAGGTTAGAGCATGCTGCACGGGTAGTGCCAGTGACCTAAGTTCTGAGAACTGGGGTCATTTGTTCAAGGAGCAAGAAAAACTGTTGTTAAAGGTATTAAAAGTGGGCTGGAAGCCGGGTGCAGTGGCACAGGCCTGCAGTCCAAGTCTCTGGGAGCCTGCCTCGGCCACAATCTTAGTCACTTCCTCCCAACACCCATAGCATGAAGAAAGAGAAGTTTAGGGAACCTGTTTCTTCCTTCTTCCAGGCTGGCTTCCAGCAGCCTCCTGGCATCTCCCCCAGGCTCATGCCCCTTAAAGTGGCTACAGGCAGCTGGCTTCAGTGGTGGATGGGCCTGGAAGGAGGAAAGCTCCTGTGTCAGGGCCTCCATGAAGCTGAGAAGGGAGGCGTCCGGGACCCTTCTAGGTCGCACCCCAGTGACCCCCGCTCCAGGCAAGCCCCAAGTCCTAACCAAGCTAGCCGTGGTGCCCCATATCCTGTTGCCTTCCCCAAGCCCTGTGTCTGAGCATAGGAGGCACTGCAGGGACAGTCTAGATCCAAACCACAACAGCAACTCGGTGAGCCCTGTCAAAATAAAAAAGGACTGAGGCCGTAACTCAGTGCAGGGACTCAGCTCAATCCCCAGTACCACAGTAAAGGTGGGAAGGGGCTGGAGTTGTACCTCTGTGGTTGTGGTATAGACAGCTAAGTTAGACAGACGTTCACAGGCAGGCAGAGAGGGACCAGGTTCTCAGAGGAGTCAGGGCAGAAGATGAGACGTCAAAACTGGCTGGAGAGGAATAAAGAGAGCCAGGCCTGCAGCCTTTCTAGCAACAGCAGCTTGGGATTATACTGTAAGCAGCAGTACCTGGTCAAGCCCAGATAAGGCATCTGATGCACAGGTGGGGGACCAGGACACCTGAACCAAACTCCTCTCCCGTCCCCGAAAAGCCTTTGATCTTTCTGTGTTTGAAGTTATCGTAATGGGCCGGGGATATAATGGCGCCATGCCTGCGTGGCAAGCACAAGGTCCTAGGTTTGATCTCTGGTACAAAAAAAAAAAAAAGTTCTAGATAAGCTGAAGTGAGTGCTGCCCATCGTGTACCCTCGCTGTGTGTCTCGCTTCCCTGTCAGGTCAGTACAGCTAAGTGACTGTACTGGTAACTGCATTGATCAGGCTCTTCTTGGCCCAGAGTGGTCTGGGATGTCATCTTCAAATGTAATATCCCCAGACAGATCCTTTCTGGCTACCCACTTTCAGGACCCCTGTTCTCCCTCAGGAGCTTTCTCAGTAAACTATTCCTCCTCTTAATCTCCCTGTGCTCATATCTCCTCTTTGGTTATCAAGAGACACAAACTCAGCACGTCTGACACCTAACAGGTGGGGAGTCACTTCCCTGTGACATTTGGGTGCTTGGCTAGTATGTGCAGGGACCTGGGTTCCATTCCCAGCCAAATACACACACACATGTGTACACACATACATGAAGACTAGGCAGGGACTTGGGCGTAAAACTTTCTGTTTTTCATTGTCTTTGTTGTTGGGCAACAAAAGAGTTCCAGGTCCTACTTGCCTCAGACAAAGAATTAACAGGACAAGCCACAGATACAATGCCAGAGGTTTATTTGAAAAGTGAGGGGTGAAGGAGTAAGGGAAAAAGTAGCTCTGTAGAGTGAACTTGGGCCAAACAGAGGAAAAGATACAAGCAAGAGTAAAAGTGC